TGTCTCTGTCAAATAAATAAATAAAATCTTTAAAAAAAAAAAAAGAATATAAGAATGATTCCTAAGACATTCCAGAAAGGAAGGTAATGAAAGTAGCCATTATTGCCCTGGATAACCCAAGATATCATGCCCCCCATCCTGGCATAATTATCAATAGCACCACCTTCCACTCCTGAAAATGTTCCAGTTTAGACGGTAAGTCCTATGCTCACTGTATGGACAAGAACCATACATAAATTAATAAGAAATATAATACATTCCATTAAAGAATTACAGGTGGGCAATTCGTTCACAGGAGGGAGAGTATGTCTTTTTTTTTTTTTTAAGATTTTATTTATTTATCTGAGACAGAGAGAATGAGAGAGACAAGAGAGCACATGAGAGGGAGGAGGGTCAGAGGGAGAAGCAGGCTCCCTGCCGAGCAGGGAGCCCAATGTGGGACTCGATCCAGGGACTCCAGGATCATGACCTGAGCCGAAGGCAGTCACCCAACCAACTGAGCCACCCAGGCGCCCGAGGGAGAGTATGTCTAACATTGATTAGAAAATGCTCTGTGGAAGAACATTTCAACTGCTTCTAGGATGCTGCACAGAATTTAAAGTGAATTTAGCACCACAATATCAAATACAAATATCTGACTATTGCACTGATTTGCCACTATTTCAAAGATGCTACCAGGCTAAAATGTATCCACTGATACTCAATGTCAATAATAATACATGGTAGTTGGTGTCTGAATAAATTAATAACAATTACAACTGAGTGTAGTTTGACAATTTCTGCATGAATTCCTGCTCTCTCTTAACTGCATGAATAGTTAACATTACCTGAATATTCACATATGCCTGGCATAGCTATAACCCCTCTACATATAGACTTTCAATTAATACTTAGGATAATCCAAGGACATATGTACCATTATCACTATCTCTTCACAGATGAGGAAATACTCCTTTGCTCTAAACAAAGAACAAAGCCATTAAAATATACACCAAACAACCCTCTGTAAACATGCAGTAGATCAGAAACAAAGTGGCAAGCCTTGAGTCTGTTGGGCTCCAGAGCAAGAGAAAGGCAGAGGAAGTTAGGAGTCCAGCGGTCAACACAAGATGGGTGCTGGAGCCAGGTTACCCCTTGAAGCCAATAGGTGGCAGGAGGCTCCACCAATGGTGAATGGGAGCCAAATGGAACTTCCGCCACAAATGCCTGGAGTGATGGGTTATAACTATGAGTCTAAGAAGGCAGGAAGAACAAATGCTAACTCCCGACAATGAAGTGGGCTCCAGGGAGCCAGGCATAGGCAACCACAAACACGAAAAAGCCAGGAAGAAGTAGGCATGTATAGAATAAGAAAACAAAATCGTTCCACCCCAAGTGCATCTGCAAATCAAAATTCAAAAATACCTAAAGAAATCAAATGCTAAGAAAGACAATAAAATCAGCCACTGGGGGAAAGAATTCATCCTGATAAAATTTAAATTATAGAAAATAATGAGGGCGCCTGGGTAGCTCAGTCAGTTAAGTGTCTGCCTTCAGCTCAGGTCATGATCGCAGGGTCCTGAGATGGAGCTCCTCATCGGACTCCCTGCTCAGCAAGGGGTCTGCTTCTCCCCCTGCTCCTCCCCACCCTGCTCATGATCTCTCTCTCTCTCCCTCTCTCAAATAAATAAATAAAATCTTTAAAAATATAGATTGATAAGTATTTTTTTAAATAATTAAGTTTAGGATGTTCAAAAGATAAATGAAGAAAAGACAGTCCTAAAAAATGAACAAGAAGGGCGCCTGGGTGGCTCAGTTGGTTAAGCAACTGCCTTCAGCTCGGGTCATGATCCTGGAGTCCTGGGATCGAGTCCCGCATCAGGCTCCCTGCTCAGCAGGGAGTCTGCTTCTCCCTCTCCCACTCCCCCCTCTTGTGCTCTCTCTCTCTTTCACTCTCTCTCTCAAATAAATAAATAAAATCTTAAAAAAAAAAAAAAGAACAAGAAATTATAAAGAGTAATACAAGTATATAAAGCAAAAAGAGTTGGGTATGAAAAAAGTTTAAAACCTTGGTAATTTCAAGTGTAGTCAACAAGATAACAAAGCCTGACATACTGTTTTAGCTAGACCCATAAAAAAGAGAATATTCAAATTACTAAAACCAGAATGAGAGAGATTACATCATTACTGATCTTACAAAAATCAAAAGGATTGTAAGGAAATACAATTGATCCTTAAACAGCACAGGGGCTGGGCCATGCAATCAAAAATTCACTTATAATTTTGGACTCCTCAACAATTTAACTGTTAATAGCCTACTGTGGACCAAAGCCTTACTAATAACATAAACAGTGGACACGTATTCTGTATATGTATTATATACTGAATTCTTAAAGTAAACTAGAGAAAAGAAAATGCTGTTAAGAAAATCATAAGGAAAAGAAAATACATTTACAGTACTTACCCTATTTATCAAGAAAAATCATGTGTAAGTAGACCCATGCAGTTCAAACCTATGTTGTTCAAGGGCCAAATGTACTATGAAAACCGAATGCAGACAAATTAGATAACTTAGAAATTTCTAAAAAGACACAAATTACTGAAAATGACTCAAGAAGAAATAGAAAATCTGAATATATCTATAACAAGAGATAAAAGTAGCAATTTTAAGACTTCCCAAAAAGAAAAGCCTAGGCCCACAAGATTTACACTGAACATTCAAAGAATTAATACCTATCCTTTACAAACTCCTTCCAAAAAAAGAGAATATGAAACAGTACTTGCAACTCATTCTATGAGACAAACCCAGTCCTGTCCCGATTCCAAAAACAAAGATAACACAAGAAAATTAAACTATATACCAATAGTTCTTATAGATATTCAAAAATCCTCAACAAAATACTAGCAAACTGAATCCAGCAACATATAAAAGAATTGCACAGAGTGACCAGGAATGGAAGGTTAGTTTAACATTAGAAAATCAATTAATGTATAATACCACATTAAGAGAATTAAGGACAAACACCACACAGTCCTATCAATAAACACAGAAAAAGCTTTTGACAAAACTTAGGCCCTTCAATGATTAAAAAAAATATATATATATTCATCAAAATAGGAATTTCCTAAAGCTGATAGTGTTTAGCAAACACCTACAACTGACATTATACTCAATGGTAAAAGATTAAAAGCTTTCCTCCCAAAATCACAAACAAGACAAGGATGTCTGCTCTTCACCATTTATATTTAACAATATGCTAAAGGTTCCAGTCAGGGCAACTAGACAAGAAAAAGAAATAAAAGGCACCCAGATGGGAAAGGAAGAACTAAAAATGTCTCTGTTTACAATGATATGATCTAGTATTTAAAAAATTCCTAAGCAAACAACTAAAAAGCTATTAGAACTAATACATTTTCAACCTTTAAGTTAAAAAGATCAATATATACAAATCAGTTGCTTTCCTATACAAATGCAAGTAACAAACCAAGAATAAAATATTGCATTCATAAGATCAAAAAATAAACATAAGCTTAATAAAGAAGTGCAAGACTTACAAACTGCAAACTATAAAATACTGTAAAAAGAAATAAATGAAGAAATCAATAAATGGAAAGATATTCCTTATTCATAGATTGGAAGATTTACTAATTTTAAGACAGCAATATTCTCCAAATTGATATACAGATTCAATACAATCTCTATCAAAATCCCAAGTTGTTTTTTGCAGAAATTGATAAGTTGATCCTAAAATTCATATGGAAATGCAAAAAAAAAAAAAAAAAAACCCACCACAGAACAGCCAAAACAATCATGAAAAAGAAGGACTCACACTTCCCGGTTTCAAAACTTAATACATACAAAAATAAATTCAAAATGGATGAAAGACCTAACTGGGAGACAGGAATGCATCAAAATCCTAGAGGAGAACACAGGCAACTACCTCTGTGACCTCGGCTGAAGCAACTTCTTGTCTTGTCTCCAGAGACAAGGGAAACAAAAGCAAAAAATGAACCATTGGGACTTCATCAAGATAAAGAGCTTTTGCACAACAAGGGAAACAATAAACAAAACTAAAAGGCAACTTATGGAATGGGAGAAGATATTCACAAATGACATATTAAAGGGCTAGGATCCAAAATCTATAAAGAACTTATCAAATTCAACACCCAAAAAACAAAAAATCCAGTAAAGAAATGGGCAGAAGACATGAACACACATTTCTCCAAAGAAGACATACAAATGTCCAACAGACACATGAAAAAATGCTCCACATCACCTGGCATCAGGGAAATACAAATCAAAACCTCAATGAGATACCACCTCACACCAGTCAGAATGGCTAAAATTTGCAAGTCAGGAAACAACAGATGTTGGCAAGGATGCAGAGAAAGCGGAACCCTCCTACACTGTTGGTGGGAATGCAAGCTGGGGCAGCCACTCTGGAAAACAGTCTGGAGGTTCCTCAAAAAGTTGAAAATAGAGCTACCCTACCACCCAACAATTGCACTACTAGGGACTTACCCGAAAATACAAATGTAGTCATCCAAAGGGGAACTGCACCCCAATGTTTATAGCAGCAATGTCCACAACAGCCAAACTATGGAAAGAGCCCAGATGTCCATCGACAGATGAATGTATAAAGAAGATATGGTATATATATACAATGTAATACTACTCAGCCTTCAAAAAATATGAAATTTTTCTATTTGTAATGACATGAATGGAACTAGAGGATATTATGCTAAGCGAAATAAGTCAATCAGAGAAAGATAATTCCACTCATATGTGGAATTTAAGAAACAAACGAACAAAGGAGGGGAGA